GTTTTATTAATACATTGCTAAAATAGTAAAATATTTGAATCTAAATTTCTCTGAATATCACTTTTCAATATTAATTTTTATGTATCACTATAAAATTATTTATATTATTTATATTGAAATGTTATTTATTTTTAATTATCAAATAAATAATATTTCAATAGCATTGATGGATTATAATATCAATATGCAAGATATTTTTAATAATAGCATAAAACACTTAATAACTTATTAGAAATTAAAATTAATTGTGAACAAATTTTTGGTCATTTTCTCCATTTAAAACTGAAAAGCTAAACATTTGTCTTGTATAATTTTGCTAAGAAAAAGTCAATTTTAAATTTATCAGACAATTTTTCATGAAAATTAAAATTAGAGAAGTTGTTAGAAAGCTTTATATATACATATATATATTTCTTTCTTTCATTTTTCAATACATCCATGATCAAAAAGAGAATTAAAAGTTGCTCTTGTAACATCGATATTGGAAAAACTACGGATAGGAAAAAGTTGTCAAACGTGAAAAAACTGGATGAACATCTGACGCAGAGTAGGATAACTTTTTTTTTTTTTTAAATAGGAAAGTAGTTTCAAACAGCGCGCGGCTAATTCATTTCTTGTTTTAGAATCTTTAAGTGAATTATGTTTTTCCAATAGCATTGTTAATGCATTAATGATTATAAAAAATATTTTTTAATTTAAAAAAATAGAATGTAATTGCAAAAAAATTCATTATGTAGTTTCGAAAATCAATCAGTCCGACATAATAATTTAAAAAAACTATCTCGTAAAATCATGAAAAGTTTATACTATTGCTAATTTGAAAAAAGATTCGTAATGGCTATAGTAGCAAATAATATAAAAAAATCTCTTTAGCAAGCTTTTACAAATTGTATACGAAACGTAATACGAAGAAATCTTTAAATCTGTTCCTTTAGCTCTTTTAAATCGTAAATGTAAGAACTTAATGTTATTTTTCTTAAATTACAAAAAAGTGGATAAATTAAATTAGGAAAATAAAATATGTGTACGTGAAATAAGAAACATCTAATATTTTTTATATTACATTTTTTATTGAATTTAAATAATTAGATATAATAGATAAATTTATTAATGCGTGCATATCTGGAATTTTAATAGCAAATCTAGATTCCAAGATTTCTCTTTACAATATAAAATTTTCGGTAGAAATATTTCATTGTGTATTCTCATATACCATTACGATTTATTGAAAAAAACTGCATGTGGTATTCTTTACTGTATTACGGTTGATAATTTTACACTCAAAAAATCAGAGTTGGGTAAGTTAATGTTTTTTTTTAAATTAAGTTAAAGTTAATGGCTTATAAAATTAATAAAATTAAAAGTTGAAGGAATAAAGAATTAATTTAATAAAAGTTAAGTTAAGATTGAATTAATTTAAGTTTAAAAAGAAGTTAATTTTGAAAAAAATTACTTTTGAGATCAGAATGTCCTAATTTTTCTTAAAATGAGATTACTTTAAATAACATTTACAAATATAAATTAAATTATTAGATAAATTTAATTTTATATTCACATGTAAGTTACTTATATATAATAAGAGTCACATCATAAGATGTTTTGTCCAAATCTTGCGAGAGAGAAGGATATATGTTTGCATTATTTCTCTTTTTTTTAACTATTATCTAACTTTCTTTAACTTCTGAAATGACTCCTCATGCATGTTTACGACTACATCGACTAGATATTTGTTACAAAAAATATACGTATAAAAATGTAGAAAATGGGATGTGCAATATTATTCTAACAACAAGGCTTTTCATCTAAGGTTCATTTCATATTTATGATATCTAAAATTAGTATGATTCAAATATAAACGGGAATTGACAAAATCTAGCGAGTCAATAAAAACTGTCTACCGTATGGTGTAACTCTTATTATAGATCTCTCATCATAAAATCATTGAACTTTTCTAAATTAATTCTCTAATGTTTAAAACTTTATGAAAAAAAAATATTAGCATTAAGAGAAATAGAAAAATTTTTAATTTAAAAAAGTTGATAAATTAAAGTTTAAAAGTAATTAAATTAAGTTAAAAATTAATGCATTTAAAATTAATTAAATTAAATTAAAAGTTATTAACTTTTTAACTTTTTTCTTAACGTTTTAATTAGTTACTATTCAACCCTGCAAAAAATTCAATTAAACATAAATTGGACGTATCTATCTGTCATTCGCGATGAGTGCACACCATTCTAATAATCGATCAAAACGTACAAACATTTCTAAAAAAAACCGATGAATGATTGCATCTCTCACAAATGATGAACGTGTATGTTATTTCGAAAACGAGGATATTATCGACTCGCAAATATAATACGTACATTAGCAAGTTCTTTAATTCGATATACTGATTTTACAGTTTAAAAATGAGCAATTAGAAGAAGATTTATCTCGTTACTTTATTCCAAAAAATTTGTGAACGCTAGTAAAAGCATAGACACTAAAAACATATGATCTTTTCATATTGAGCATAAAACATTGATTAAAAAAACGCGCTTGTATGTCTTATACTTCGTTTATGAAAATTTTTATTACTTAAAAAAAGAAAGAGAAAAGCATTTTATGATCATATAATAATAATGAGATATTAAATCTGTTACTTTTGAAGTAGAAAAGCTAGTTCCCTGGAATTATAGATTAATTTTACAAATAATTTTTAAGAGAAATTTTAAGAGTAATATGTATGAAAAATTTGAAAAATTTATGATGTCTTCAGAAATAAATCAATCTTATTTTTACTTTTTATTAATGTTTATATCAAAATAATTCTTTAAAATGGATATAATTATCTGATAATTTTATTATTACAATAGCGATTATTAGTTTTGTTATTAATAATAATAATATAATAATGAACAAGAGAAAGTTACATGTATTCGTATTATGATATTTAATATACATATATACCTATATTAATCTCAAATCATAGAACAAGATACATTACACGCAAAATTCACACAGTGTACGTAATTTTCGTCATTTCGCAGTTTCTCACTTTTGAGATTTTCAGAATTAAGATTTTCACTTTTCTGATTTCAGAAAATACTAAAAAGAAGTTTTTCCAGTTTTTTTATTACATCATCGAAACTCGTATTCTCGTCGTCAGCTAAAAAAAGAAATTCGCCCATTGCGATTCTGGTTAGCGATTCTCTGTACACATTCTTTACAGTTAAAAGGAAATACGCTATTCATTTGAAAAGGACTTGTCAATGTTCTACGGTTACAAACACATTTGTGAAAATGCTAACGTTATTTTATTAAAATAAAAAGATTAAATAATTTTCACGGTTGTTAAGGAAAAAACGCGATTATTTTGATTAGATTTATAGAGATCATAAATCTTAGTCATATATATTATATAAATGTAACTGTACATCAATATATTATTTCTTTATTTTAAAAATAATTAACAAAATCTTATCTTATAGGAAAGAAGAAAAATTATTTTTTAACTTGATAAAAAATTATCGATTAATCAAATAATATCGACAAAAAGAATGTATTCGTAACATGATCAAATATCATTTTTATCATCTTCGTCTTGTAACTCTAAAAAAAACTACCCTTTTTAATTTTTGATAATTTCTTTAAGCTGTTCTTTTTGAATTGCTACTTTTTGATTTTGCTTGCTTGTTTTGACGATTTTTAATGAAATTAACTTTTAAGGATAATATTTTTTTATTGATAGGATAATATTTACTTAACTCATTTTGGTAATAACTTAAAAATTATGTTTTTTTAGTTACGTCGTTTTTTATTTAAAAGGACGATATCAATATATGGTCATATGTGTCTATATGTATATAGAGATATATATGTATATATATATATTAAATATTTTTATACAAAAAATGTTTCATAACTCAAATTATATCATAGTCTGTTTTCGGTATAATATACGATCAACTAAAATAATCTCGTCAGAAACTTTATGTTTCTACAAAATGACTTTATATACTGAAATTCCACGTGTCAAGACTGATGGCTCTATAAAAACGTTATAGATACGGTTTATGAGAACATTTATGGAATTCAAAACACATACGCACGCATACAAAACTAATAAAATTGTTAGATATATCTTTTAAAAAAGGATTATCTAGCTCTTTTTATAAGATTATTTTTGGCATTACAGTAATTCTTTTTCATATCAAATGTCTAGTACTTAATTACTAAACTGAAATTAATTAAACTGAGAACGGTCTTATCGCTCGTGAAATAAATGAGAAGATTTCATATTTTTCGTCCGTACTTTATTAATTTCTTTAGCTTCTCTCGAAAAAAAGAACATTTCGTATATAATATACGATCCCTTCCATCTTAGAAGATTCTCACAAGAATATCAAATAGCAGGCTCGTTTGCTTATCTCCTTGTGTGGTACGCTGCGCAAGTAAAATGGGTCACCAATTTCGTATCAAAGAAACATAGGAAATGCTGAAACTTATTACTTTTTACTGACGCGAAATATTGACGCAGCCGTCTTTCCTTTATTATCATCTACGAAAGTACTCGTGTACATCAAAGGGAAAAAAGGGAACTTCGTACCTTAAAGCAGATGTATTGTGGTTTGTCGGGACCTAATAATTTTCTTCATACCTATACGAATTGATGAAGGATGATCATAAAATCATATACCAGATGTTGAAATATAACTTCATACAAAGCCGAAGAATCTTACATAAATATTTAACTAAAAAGATTTACTGCATATAAATCTGAATTCCCTTTAAAGCGAATCTTGACACAATATAACAGAATTTTTAATTCTTATGCGAGATATATTTCTATCGCTTGATTTTATCATGTCTCGATTTTTTGAAGCAAATTTGATTAAAAATTGTATGTTTTATAAAGATTATTATTCAATGATTTACAATTATTAACTAAATAATTACGTATTTTAAGAATGATATTTTACATTTGTATCATTTCTTTATATATCGGATTTATATCTTACCGAATACTATGACGAAGGTCATTTTTACGGTCTTGATTTTCGCCTTGGGAATGAGACCCCTTGAAGACGCCCTCCTAGTATCTCTAGTAGGTCCCTGACGTAGCGCTGCTCCTTGCGACCATATCGTGACTACGATGACCGTGTAACAGCCTCCTATTATCAGTGTGGGTGCTATAAAGAGGCTAAAACTCACCAGGCTCATGTAGATCTTCCATTGAGTCGGATCTAAATCGATCCAGCACTGCGGCGTATCCTAAAAATGATTGTTTGCGATTATGCTCGTCATAAGCTTTGAAATTATTATCATTAAAAGAATTTTCCAAAAAAAGGAGGAAACAGTTGTATAAAATATTGACGCTTTATCTAGCAAGATGATAATTTTCTTTATAAGTATAAATTTTGATAACACGCGGTTTTCCAAAATGTAAGAATGTATTATAAATAAATAAATCGAAATCGACTTTTTTTTTAAAAAGTACAAAAATATAAAGAAATATCAAAATAGGTTTTTTTTAATCTTTTCGATCCGATTTTGATAAGCTTTTAATTCACATTTTTAGGAGATAAAATACTTAATTAATTAGTTTCTTTCAAAGTGAATTTGTCATGAATAAAATACTTTTAAAACCATTCAATTTTTATTAAATTTTTTTTTCATCTTTTATAGTTTCGACGATATTTGTTTGAAAAAAAGAAACTATTTTTCTTCAAAGGAATATTTCATTCTTTAAAAATATTTTAAAAAATATGAATTTTTTTATTTTAGCAAGCAACTACTAAAAGCTTATTAAAATCGAAAATTAATATTTCCCTGTGTTTCCTTGTAAAAAACACACGTGTACCTGTATTTGTTTCTCTTCGTACAGGAATACGATCGGCATGCTGAACAATGCTGATAGCGCCCAAGCTGTAATCACCAAAGCTCGAGCTCTCCACCCTGCGATCAAAATTAATGCCTGTCAGTTAATAGATTATATCCAATTTTTTAATTAATATGTACAAGATATCGCATATGTTTTGTGCTCAACGAATATTTAAAATTTAACACAGGATTTTTATTTTTAATTTTTTTACATAAACATTTTTTTTTTGCAGAAAATTGACGTAGGCGTACGCAACTTTGTATGCAATGTTATGAAAGAAGCGTAGCTATTTTCGTGAATGTCGAGTTTTACGTCAACCAACGATTCAAAAAATCAAAAAGGAAAAGGTTCATCGTAACGAACGGTGCTCATGACGGGTGGCGGAACCAGTTTAAAAAATCAAGACAAAAATGTCTGTTACTGCTGTAATAAGCTTGAAATCTAAAATAGCGGTGTAGCGTGATATGATATGATTATAACATGCTACATCATTTATTTAGCTTTCTGGTAACGCAAAGAACGATCGATTACACGTCGATATTATATTTTGATTATATGTTATCGTTATTCTCATGAGCGTCATTTATCTGTTATTTTCAATAATGTATAATTAACAGCATCGGCAATTGTCTCAGCTTAAAACCGACATAAAAAGATATTACATAACATGTATCGTCGATACGAGTCCGTTAATCTTGCAACTATATAATTACGATGTGCACGATTGATAATTATGAATCATTGGTAATTGGAAGAATGATCGCGTATAGAAATTCATAACATGATGGGTAGATCTGGAATTAAAGCGAAATCTGATTGAATTATTGTAATAGTTCCGCGCTCTTTAATCATATTCTTTTGTCTCTTCGACAATGCTATACATACTTTAACCTCTGTTTAATGACATTGAGATATAACAAATGTATGATTATCATCAATTTAAATCTACCGCTATTTACTTTAAAACATGAATCGAATCGTAATTAAAATTAAAAAATTTGCACGGATTAGTATATAATAGGATGCATAAAAAATGGTTTTACTAAAGTATCTAAAAAGCTGAATACAAAACTGAAACTAATTTTTATAATTATGTATAGGACGGTCAAGCTGATTTTCTTTTATTGTTAAACGTTATATATATTTTTAATAAGTATAAACATATTATAGTATTATACATGTGTGTGTGTGTGTGTGTGTGTGGCGCGTGCACGTGCGTGTGTGTGTGTATGTGTGTATATATACGCGTCTTTGTGACGTAGAGTGATTTAAATTTGTTTCTAAACAAATTAGATCTATTTTAATTTACAACAGTCTGTATAATATTGAAAATTGGACAAAATATGACAAAAATAATGGTAAAAATATTTTCGTATTAAAATCATCCAGTGAAGTATCGTGCGACAGTTGAGCGTGATTGGTAGTCTGTGTGTGTAGATTCTGACACTTACGAATTTCTGTAATTTTACCTATCGACAAACTACGAGAACATTGATATATAGAAGGTAGAAGATAAATTTTATTCTGGTGCGGAATACCCGCCACAACAATTCGTGAGATGCCTCCGTGTGATAGACGATACGATCGAGCAGAAAGATAAGAGAACCTATCTTTTTTTTTGTCCTTTACCCTGTCACAAAAAGAAGCTAAAAAAAGAAAAATGAAAGAACATGCGCAATCTACAAAGTACGCGATATTAATTTTGAAAGGAACTGCGGCAAAGATTATGTCACAGATCATGAAATAATTTGGCCGTCAATATTGATAGTGCTACTATCTTGGAGCTAAAATATTTTTAAAGAAAGTTTCGGATCGATTTTTACTACTTTTTCTTTAGCAACTCTATCTTAAGTTCCGTTAGCAAAGATAGATGCATAACTTATATCTGGTATACGGAAGTCAAAGCAATTTCTTGATACGAGGTAAATACGAGTAGAATAAAGGAATCTGAAGGATGTCAAAGTGAAGTATGAAGGCGAGAAAGGAGCATCCATACCGTACGGTAAATTGCACTCAATGTGGGCTGACTGACAGATACTAGTAAATGGTCTTTGACTTGCTGCAAGCAACACTCCAAACCGCATATTGGTATGAAATAACTCTGCTATCATACAGTTGTGATTAGATTAACGCAAAAATAGTGATCAAATTCTGTGATCATATTGATTTCTGTTTCTTCATATTGATAATTATTGAAGATGTATATATTTCTTTGAAGATCTATATTTTTGTTCATAAGATTATATTTTTGTTTTGCGTTTGCTTCAAAATTTATTTTTTTATTGATTTAATATTCACTGAAAGAACGATTTTACTGTACTTAAAAATTTATACATAGATTTAATAATAATTTTGTTAAACCATCAAAATAATTATATAGGACGCTCAAACTGGTTGTTAGGATATTAAAACTTTTTGAAGTATTGACTATCATGTTTGAAATTTTTATATTTCTGATTATTTTAATAGTTCAATCAACTTATTTTTAAAGCTGTATCTAGCTTTAAAATTTTTAGACACTTTAGTAAAATTGTTTTTCCGTGCATTTTTTTCTAATTTTCTTATTAGAACTAAAAATTTAAAATAATAATTTTTTTTTTAATATATTTTATCCGGTGAGTTTACAAAATTTTTTTTAAATGCCTTCTTTTATGAAATTTATGCAGTTCTGTAATGATAATTTAATGCATTAAGCTGTCAAGAATTTTTCTTCTCTCTCTCTCTCTCTCTCTCTCTCTCTCTCTCTCCCTTTACTCATCTCAATTAAAAATTTCCACGAAGATAGCTTTTTTGAGGTTGAACCTCGAGGTTGAACATCATTCATGTCTCAAGAGAATCTTGCTATATATTCTACTAAATTACAACTAAACTGTATTAATGAGTTTAGCTCGAAGTACCGCTTTGTGAAAGGATCCAACATTAAAGGCTGTGATCATAATATGCGCGCTAATGTACTCACAGCTGCCGGAGAAGTTCATCGGACGGGTAATGGCGTCATATCTGTCGATTGATAGAGCCACAAGGACGTAGGTCGAGCTATAGGTTACTACAGCCTGCATAAACCTTATCAGTTTGCAAGCTATATTACCCGCATACCACGCAACAGTCGTTCTCCAGATTATATCCGTTAACACGGATATTAGGCCAACCAGTAGATCTGCAACATGGTACACGACGATCAAATGTGATATAACATTTGCGAATAGATTATATTTACTAATCAAGATTATCAGTTAATGGAGTTTCTCAATATTTTACACTGTCTAGACTTCGAGTATCCTAAAAGACACACAAGCGCAATAGTCATTAATATTCCGGAAAATTCCTTCATTCCAAATTAGATAGAAATTTAATAGATCTACTTTGTGCATTTTATATTTTTTCTTTATTATTACAAGAATTAACCATTAAACTCACAGAAACTCGCCAAAAATAATTTTCGAGAAAATATAAACCTTAACATTATAACAAATTTATATAACGTTACGTGGTTTTTGAAGTTTAATGTCGGATATTAAGCGTGAGATTTTTGCAACCATAGAGACACCGTGCGACTCTTAACTAACTTGTGAAAAGTCGTTTATGGAATAACACCTTTACCCGAGAAATAAACCTCCAGGTACGTGATCAGTTTATAGCTCGCTTCGGTATTTTACGTCACGTTGCTCTGCTTTTATACATGAGTAAAAAACTTTTTTGAGTAAAAAATTAATACGGAACATAAAATAAGAACGTTATAATAATGCATTGGTAATTTCGGCATTTCTGTAGTGCAACATGCAGTATACTGTATCATAAACGTCGCAATAATAAGAAATTATTTCCAAAACAAGATACAATTTTTACATAAAGATATAATCATGCCATGTTCTATAATGTTTTGTAATGTTTTATATCGCGAAAGATTTTTAAAGGTTACCTGAGTAAAATATAAAAATATATAAGAATAAAAATAAGTACAGCCTCGGTCATAAATATAAAGCATGACTCACAAATTGACGTAAATATTTTATATTTTACGAAAAATAAATTAAAAAATAGTTTTATTGAAGAATAATAGGTTATTTTTTATAACGATTTAAAAATTTTGGTTCTTTTTAGTTCTCATTTTTATAACAATTTATAAATTTTTGGTCTTATTTTTATTATTGCCAAAATGTAATAAATTGAAAGTGTTTTATACTTATGGCCAACACTATATAATACACGTAGAATTTGTAGATTTATTTTTTTAAATAATATTATAGTTTTTCCATTTTGAAATATATTTTTGTTTATGGATTAGAATGATTAAAAAATTTATTTATTTAAATAGCAAGGATTTTTTTTTACAGATTTGAGTTTTAACGTTTCTAAAAGTATGTGCATGTTGAGTTACGATATTGTGCAAAACAGATTCTTTAATAACAGCTTCACAAGAGATATATTATCAATGTTTCCTGGAATTGTTATCGGCCCAAATGTAAAAATTCTCAAAAAAACGAGCTTCAATCCTACTAATTCTTCAAATAATATCCATCTAGTTTTATCGTTCATATTTTATCAATGAAATTCAATTCCGCGCCCTTTCGCCTCGAACATCGGTCGCAATATTAATATCGAAATTGAAAACCCAAGTTATGAAATAATTATTCTCAGAGTAAGTGTGTGTGTGTGTGTGTGTGTGTGTGTGTTTGCGTGTATGTGTGGAAACATGCCAGAAACAAATTAGAGCAATTTTTATTACATACAGTTCTACTTATTAAATGACTGATATTTTCTTTTATAAAAATGTAGACTTTTTTATTTATACGATTTATACGATTTTTTTATTTGAAAACATTTTGATTTACGGAATAAAATAATGATTTTAATACGAAATTTATATAAATCTTTTTTTTTACATTAATCTATAGAATTTCGGTAGTGTTACATGTGTTTTATGTAGTACTTTTGAATTTTGCAACATCAACAGTCAGATTTTTTAACTTTTCTTAAATTTTCTTTATCGATTATCACTCGTCCCATTTTAATTAAAACAAAAAAAATTTATTATTTAATAATTAAAATACATTTATAACTAAATACTGAAATAAAGTTAATATCCTCTTTATTTGTCGACATACTGAAAGAATAATGATTAGCATATTTTTTGATTGAAATACAAAATGAATATTTAAAATACTCTAAATTCTTTTGCTAAAGAAAAATCATTCCTAAAAAATACATGTCTATAACAGATTTTGAATATCTTTTTAATTATATAAATTCATCATTAGAATAATATTGTTATATTAAAGAATTAAGTTTTTTCACGTCCGAATCTTCTTATTGAGACTCGTGTTATATCTGTTTGCTCTTCACAATTGATTTCTCGTACAAATAAGGTCGAAGATGAGAAAAGAAGATGGAATTGTAATTTTACTGTCTATTGCGAAGCTTTATCGTTTCTTCGATAACTTAGCTTACAAATGTAATAAGATCACAAATAAAAAGACCAATGATAAAGTTTATGCATTGGCAACTAATTAATAGCAATTTGTTAGTTGACACTTGAAAGCAGTTTCTATACAGTTTAGAAATAAGATTTTTTATTTAGATATTAGACATCTACATCTCTTAAAAATTTATTTTAAAACAATTACATTTTTGCAAATAAAAATTTATTAAGCAAAAGTTTAATTTTTTGTGTAAGAAGCTAAAAAATTTGCGTGAAAAATAGTTTCTGTATAAATATTGTTAATTACATATTATTAAAGTAATAGGGATATGTGTGCACATAATATCATTTGTTACAATAAACATGCACAGAATTTGTGTGAGAAAATGTTTAAAAGTGAACAAATGGAAGCTCTATATTCTTATAAATAAAAAATAATATACATATATTTATATACATATATTATTTTTTATATTATACTTATACCTTATATTTATATACATATTTCGTGTTAAATATTTTTTAAATATTAATATTTATTTTTAAAAATAAACATTTTCTCTCACAAGAACATTTCACATTTTTATTACACAAAAATGAAGAATGCGACATCATTATTTAGAGTCTTTTCCTTGGAATAGCGATGTCGCATGTCTGTTGCGAAGCACGTTTGTAGTGACAATCACTAAGGAAATATCTCAATAGGTATCCTTAAATTCAGCTTGATTGCAAAAGCACATTTTCTATACTGTGAACGACATTATATGATACTCTTCACTGCATCACAATACTACATTACGATTCTTCTTGTTATCATTTGTTATGCGAACAAAAAGTTTTGTTAAATAATTGGAAAACTCAATAACCAATTTTGATCCTTATTTTCAAATCAATCAGTATAAATTCTTAAATAAGTACATTAAATAATTAAAGAAAAATATATCTTGTACCTTTAAATATATGTATTTTTTGAGATATTATTTTATAGAAACTAACATTTTAGACACACACACACACACACACACACACACACACACACACACAAATTTTTTATACATTTTAAACTGAAGGCTAATTTATTACTAGTTAATTATTCCCTTTCTCTTTAAATATTTTTATTTACGTATAATATTTTAAGTATTTTTAATAACTTTTGATTTTTGATGTACATAAAGTTTACTTTAAATGATTTTAAATATCACTCAATAAACGTCTTCTCTAGTTTAAATTGTACTCTTTTCCTCATATTTTCTGTGACATGTTATTTTATGCTATGCTATAGAAAGATTTCTCTTTTATCTCTCTTATAGACATTAACTTAAATCCATTGCTTTTAGTACCGTAAGTTATTACACGAATAATGCAAGAAAAATAGCATTAGCTGTCACATAATACTAAGATATTTTGTAGAAACGTGACAGAAATAATATAATACTGTATGTGACAGACGGACTGTGTGTTTGTGCCTATACGCTTGTGCATTTGTGCGTGCGTGCGTGCGTACGTGTGTGTGTGTGTGTGTGTGTGTGTGTGTGTGTGTTTTTAAATATATGATGTATACTTATTAAAACAAAAAGATGCTTTAAATTAAATTTTGTTGAATATGCTGAAAGTAAAAGGCAAATCGCACTTCAGAAAAACCGTAAAAAAGATCCATTTTTTTTATTTTAGATGCTTTCTGGTGCAAGTTCGAATATAGACATGCACGTATGGCTGGTTCGATATCTTTTATTGAAGGACATATATGAATAGTAAACTTCTTTATTGGAAATCCAAGTTGGTTTATTATACTAATTTCTCGTAGAAATATCAGCATCATTCTTGCATAAGAATAAAGTTATGTTTTTAAATCGTTTACAAGTTTATACAAATACTAGAAAAAAAAACTGATATTTAATCAGTCGCAATTGTAGCAATACATTGTATATTACAAAGAAGATATATTTCTATTGATATAATATCGTTTTAAGTAAAAGTATATTTATATTCAATTACAATCAATATATGTAGATGCAATGTAATCAGTATTGAGATATAAAAATCATACATATGATATCGTTCGCGTTTTTGATATTCTGTTACATAAAGATACGTCAGCGAGAAGAGAAAAAGGAATATTTATCTGCAAACGTATATATGAAAGAGGATGCGCTATCGTATTCTCCAGAGCTGATTCTGAATTAAATATCAAAAGCGAAGATTTTGGGACCTAACGTAACAGTAATCTCTGTCCACAGTTCTCGTTCGAGTAAATATTGACAATGCGGAATAAAACAAAGTTACGTTCGTGGCGCTCTTGTTGTTGTTTAGATCGTTTTATTATCTTCTAGCTCTATTGATTGTACAGGTATTATTTTTACAAATTGTTGGTACACGTAATAGAATTCATTGTCTAGTTTGAAGCTGATGTACTTTCATAAAAGATAAAAACTTTCTTAATTAATTACATTTAAAAATAAAGACACTTACCGACAAAAGCCAGTTGCATGATGAAGAAATTCATTCGAGATTTTCTACGTTTTCCCAGCAGAAGTCCGGCGAGAACTGCAGTATTACCGGCGACTATCACTGCAAATAGTAGCCATAGTACCGCAAATTGCTCCGTCTATAAAAAGAAAAGCATTTCTTTCATCTCTGTGAAATTAGTGATTTTATTTTTAATTTAGTTAATAGAATTGTGATTCTTCCTTGAAAAATTTTAGAGTATCTAATATGTATTTTGCAATTGTATTTGTCTTTATATTATTGAGCTTGCTAAATTGAATATGAAACTTAAAATTATACAAAATTTAGACTTAAAATCATACAAAATTTAGACTTAAAATCATACAAAATTAGGATTTGAAAACGCAATTTTTTTTACAAAATCATTATTTTTAAAATATATCTTACAATTAAATTGTAATAAATTGTAATAAAAGAAATTTTTTATTGACGTTTTGAGAAAAAGAGGAGTGCTGCATGATCATTTCATTTTTACCGAAATTCCACTATTTTATGATTTTATATTTTTCAGGCATACATTGTATTTTCTATTTTTTTCTTATTCGCTGCACTTATATATCTATGAGTAGAACCAATACGAAGAGAGTGTAAAGATATTTTTGATGAAAAAGAACGACTGTATAATACTCTCTATCTCTCTCTCTCTCTCTCTCTCTCTCTCTCTCTCTCTCTCTCTCTCTCTCCCTCTCCCTCTCTCT